AGAAAAAAAGTTTTTAAAAATATGTCTTTAAAGTGATTCCAAGTTTAATGTATTCTGCGTAGAAATGAGAACTACACTTCTTGCTTTCTTTTCTCTTTGTCACCCTACTCTAACTTTTCTTTTTCTGCTAGATTTTGCAGAATCCTCTATCGAGGATCCACTTGATCATTCACTTTCCCTACACAACTAAAAAATAACCTAATATCACTACATAATAAATAATTAAATAACAATATATAATAATAATTTTGTTTTTTACTTTTCAAATTGAAAATTAATCAATAACCTCAGACAATGACACTAAAAATTTCATAGATATTTGAATATTATGTCATACATTTCACAAGTAATAAAAAATTTGTATCCATCTAGATTAATATTAATTTTAATCTTATCATTTATTACATACTTCTCAAAATCAAAGTCATTTAAAGCTATTTTATACCTATTAAGAAAAGAGTCATAACAACTGGGACATCGGTTAAAATTTTCTAATAAAAAAAATATATTATATTCAATTTATTTAATATGCACAATATTTTTATAAAAAATTAATTATTTTATTTTCAGTGTATTAAATACACATATATTTAAAAAATATATCTTTTTAATTTCTTAAGCGTGTGAAGTGTCCCAGAAACACTCGTTATATAAAATTAATAATTGAAAGTAATAAATTTATAAAACTATTCTTATTTAATTTGTCATAAATGATATGTGAAATTTTATGATTTAAAAATAGGAAGTTTTACCTCATACCCCTACACTTGTACCTATACCCCTACATTAAAAAGTTTTGGACCAAAATATCCTTATATAAAAATTTATTATTTTTTAATTTTTTTATATTTTTTTATTTGTTTACCGGAAGACTTTTTGGAAGTCTTCCGGTTCACATTTTTTTTCGTATGTTTACCGGAAGACTTTTTGGAAGTCTTTCGGTTCATATTTTTTTGTTTGTTTACCGGAAGACTTTTTGGAAGTCTTCCGGTTCATTTTTTTTTTTAATTTGTAATTAATATTTAAGATTTATTAACTTTATATAAAGACCAATTTAGTAAATTTTTAAATATTATACTTAAAATATAAAAATTCTATAAATAGAGAATTATTTTCAGAATATTTTCTATTTGCTATAATTATTAGAATACAATGAGATTAAAATCATTTATATTAAATGATCATAATAGTAAAATTTTCTCAAATATCTTATTAATCTTAAACATTAATAAATAAAATAAATTTAAATATAGGATATAAGTTTACATTATTCAATATATTTAATCAAATGAAAACATATGTGATAAATAAATAATGTATTTTAACTTAAAATGATCACAATAAGTTAACTTGCAAAATAATATAAGTAATAAATTAATAATGTATTTTATTTAAAATAATCACAATAATAGAATACGCAAATAATGTGTTTTATTTATAGGACTGATATAGTTTTATTGATTATTTAATTTTAAATACTACTATGAATATAGTATTTAATCTATACTTTAGAACTCACATAATTATAAATATAAAAAATATTGTTTTATTACCCATATTTTTATTTAATTAAAAAAATAAGAATATAAATTTATTATTTATTTTTCATTTTCGTTTGATCTTTTTTTTATTTATAAATTTTTTGCATATTCTATATTGTGCTTACTTTAAATAAAATATATTATTTATTTTATTAAAAATATTAAATAAAGTGAAATATATTATTTACTTTAATTAAAATATATTATTTATTTTATTAAAATGAAAATGATCTTTTTAATTATTTCACTTTATTTAATATTTTTAATAAAATAAATAATATATTTTATTTAAAGTAAGCACAGTATAGAATATGCAAAAAATTTATAAATAAAAAAAAGATCAAACGAAAATGAAAAATAAATAATAAATTTATATTCTTATTTTTTTTAATTAAATAAAAATATGGGTAATAAAACAATATTTTTTATATTTATAATTATGTGAGTTCTAAAGTATAGATTAAATACTATATTCATAGTAGTATTTAAAATTAAATAATCAATAAAACTATATCAGTCTTATAAATAAAACACATTATTTGCGTATTCTATTATTGTGATTATTTTAAATAAAATACATTATTAATTTATTACTTATATTATTTTGCAAGTTAACTTATTGTGATCATTTTAAGTTAAAATACATTATTTATTTATCACATATGTTTTCATTTGATTAAATATATTGAATAATGTAAACTTATATCCTATATTTAAATTTATTTTATTTATTAATGTTTAAGATTAATAAGATATTTGAGAAAATTTTACTATTATGATCATTTAATATAAATGATTTTAATCTCATTGTATTCTAATAATTATAGCAAATAGAAAATATTCTGAAAATAATTCTCTATTTATAGAATTTTTATATTTTAAGTATAATATTTAAAAATTTACTAAATTGGTCTTTATATAAAGTTAATAAATCTTAAATATTAATTACAAATTAAAAAAAAATATGAACCGGAAGACTTCCAAAAAGTCTTCCGGTAAACAAACAAAAAAATATGAACCGAAAGACTTCCAAAAAGTCTTCCGGTAAACATACGGAAAAAAATGTGAACCGGAAGACTTCCAAAAAGTCTTCCGGTAAACAAATAAAAAAATATAAAAAAATTAAAAAATAATAAATTTTTATATAAGGATATTTTGGTCCAAAAATTTTTAATGTAGGGGTATAGGTACAAGTGTAGGGGTATGAGGTAAAACTTCCTTAAAAATAGGGTAAAAAATATTAATTAAAGATAACGTCGAGATAAATTAATTAATATTTTGTATGAAAAGATAAAAATGAAGAGACGACACTTCCTTTAAAATATTTTTTTTGCTAAAGTAAAATTTATTTGAATTATATTAGTAAATAAGATATATTGATTATTCAATAATTTAAAAAAATTAATTTTTTATTACAAACAGAATCAAAAGAGTATATTTTATTGGACGATAAAAATGAAGGTTTGGTTTGATAATCATTTAAAGCTATAAAATAAGGATAAAATATGTTTGAAGTCTTTTTAAATATTTCAATTTTGTTTTTAGTCCTTCAAAATATTATTTTTAAAGAATGATTCTCTTAAAACTTTTCATTTACACTTTTGGCCTTTATTACTAAAACCGTTGCTAAAACCGTCGTTAATTTAGTCACGAAGTAATAAATTGTCGCTAATTTTATCGTTAAGTTGTAAAAACCGTCGCTAATTTTCAAAAGGAACCAAAAGTATAGATAAAAAATTATAGAATGACCATTTTAAAAAAAAATATTTTGAGGAATTAAAACCAAAAATTAAAATATTTAAAAGGATAACAAACATATTTAACTTTTAAAATAAATTGAAGAAAAAAGATGCAAAGCATAACAACGCATCACTACAATTTTGGCAATGGAAATTCATGGACAAATTGAAAGAGGCAAGACATGAAGTGGAGTGAGTTTTATTATGTTTGTTTCCGTGGTGAAAATCTATTAAATATATGTCTAAATCAGAAGTTACCTTATAAAGTTTCTACAAATCACATAAGACGGACTTTTAGATATGTGTTTTTTTTATAAGCAGTATTATATTAAAGGAGATTAAAAGGTTTTTCACAGCCAAAAGTACAACAATAATTTACAAAATTTATCCCCTTATAAACCTATAAAAAATCTAGAGGGTATTTTGACCATTCATACAAGTTATAAGTATCAAGATAGTTCAACAAAATGGCAGCCACCTCCAAGATAAAATCAGGATTCACTAGAGAATAAAGTCGATGTTGCAAATTTCGTCGCTGAACATAATGTTATTCCTAGTCTTTCAAATACACTAACATGTTAGAAACCATATTGCAGTTGCATTTCTAGTTTACACGATCAACACAATCTTAAAAATCAAACCATTGCGTGTTCCCAACTTGTCGACTCGTCTATCCAATCCAGCCAAACACCTTCAACCAAACCAGCCTTGATTTAGAACAACTGAAAAACAGATGTGCAACATCTTCTATTTCATGGAAACATAATGCACAAACTTCTTCATGGCTGCTAGTTATAATTTCCCGATCAACGAGATTCTTGTGAGTTAGAAGTTTATTAAAAAACAACTGCCACACAAAAATCTTAATTTTCAACGGAATGTTAGTTTTTCAAAGAACTTCAAATGCGGCAAGAATTGGAGTTCCCAACGAAGATTGAGTTCTCCTAGATATGTGTTTGGTTGATGGAATGCCAAACTAAACAGACACTTCACCGAAAAGTTCTCCATAATAGATTGCGATGAAAATTCTAGATAAAAAAATATTAGAAAACGAGCAAAATCAAAATTAAAACATGATTAGTTAAAAAAATATTTTTATGTTAAGAACGATATATGGTTACCTCTTAATAGAATTTTGATATCTACCATATTAAAAGAAAGACATCAAAAACATATGAGACATATAAAATCCTGTACTTCGATTACAATCCAAATATTTTCTTATATAAACTCGAGAATGTATTAATATACTATGTTCAAAATTAGTTACGATAAAATAAATAATAAATATGTTAGAACATAATAAACATATTTATTCCCTTTTTATACAATATACTATTTAATTTAAATATCAACATATTTATACTAAAATACAAACAATCACACAAGTGATATATGTTTAAATAATCATATTTCTATATTTAGAAGTTTATTTATATTTTAAAATTTAAAAACTACAAATTTAAAAATAATTTAAGTTTATAATTAAATAAAAACATTTAAATAATAAATAATAATAACAATGTTATCATTTATTTTTCAAAGTAAATTAATTTCTATTAGTTGGCAAAAATAGAGGTGCTAATAGTAGCGTCAATATATAACAGAAAAACCCATATATTGATTGGACCGGGCACATAACAAATTGAGCCCATGGCGGTAACAGTTTTCTAGCGAGATTTGATTTTCCCTCCTAAGAATTGAATCTGAAAACAGAGAAATGGCAATGGAAGGAGTAGGTGGAAGCGGTGGTGGTAGCAGCGATGTGGAAAACGACTTGGAAATGAAGCTTTTACGAGACAGATTCAGACTCTCCGCAATCTCAATCGCTGAATCTCAAGGTTCAATTCTTCTCACACTCGCTTCTCGTTTACGATTCAAGTTCCTAATTCTGGTTTCCGATTCGCAGCAAACAAAAGCGGCATGGAAGTTTCAAATGTCGTAGTCGCTTGCGTTGCTGATTTGGCCTTCAAATACACCGGTAATATATACAGTTATCGTTTTTCTTCATGTTCTTCGAATTAAAATCCCTATGATTGCAACGTTTATGAGATAATTTCTCTTACAATGCTTATATTTACATTGTTGATGGATTAATTAGGTGTAGTTTCTATTTTTTTTATGTTGATTATTGAGTAATTGAGTTCATAAATGGTTGAGTTAAATATTATGATTAATGAAACTTTTTTGTGAGCAGAACGGTTGGCTAAGGATCTTCAACTATTCTCCCAGCATGCAAATCGTAAATCTGTAAATATGGAGGATGTCATACTCTCCGGTTAGTTTCGAATTGTTTACGCATTCGATTTTTGTTGATTAATATCATTTGTATGATTGTTTTACAAGAATCTAAACAAATTATCAGAAGAGTAATTGTAATGTGTGTTTGGTTCAGCACATCGCAATGAACATCTATCTGGCTTGTTGAGGACTTTCTCCAATGACTTAAAAGCCAAAGATCGTCAATATGAGAGGAAGCGAAAGAAGAATGACAAAACAACTGTTTAGTGCATATATTACTATGATTTTTAATCGGCAACTTTTCTTGGACTTGTTTGCTGTTTTGGTATATCAATTAGTATTACTCCATCTTTATGGTTTTATGTGTCCTTTGAAGCTTTATACTCAATATCAGCCACTAAAGGGTGTTGTAGTCTATATGAGGCAAAATGTGCTTTATATACTTGTATAAATATTCTAGTTCAAACCGATTTTTTTTTGCAATGCTTATTTTGCTTGGTGCTTGTAAGGATTAATCTAGCTAGTTGAAAAATAAACTAGGAGTTCAGAATCCTGGAAATCTTTTAGAGAGCATAGGAAGTAGAAACAGAAGCATAATTGTCATTATGATCTTGCTTCTGTTACCACAAACCCAAACAACATATTCTACAGAATGGGTCTAATAGACTAATATAGTAAGGTTTTTTATAATGCCTAAAAGAACTGCTTGACTAAATTGTTCATCTTCTCCACCAGGCCTGCTTGGTAAACTCTGAGCCGCCAAATAATGCCTTACTATCTACCTTTGAAAATGTGGTATGAAGGTTGGCAGAGGACCAGGGTTGTTGTTTCACAAAGCTTTCTAGAAACGTACGAGTATATTATAATATGCAAGTGATTTATCTTTCATGGAGAGAGACGGATTATACAAAGTTTATAATGAGTAAAAAACTGGTGGCTTAGATGGAGGATGATGTATAAAATTTGGAAGTGTACGATTTTTACAAGTAATAATAAAAGATTATCGTCTCAAGGGGGTTTAATTAGCTCTTAGAATCTGAATTGAATATAATCCAATTTTACAAAATCTGATTGGAAGGCTTGTAAGATATGAAATGTCTGTTTGGATCCCCGTTTACCCTCTCTTTCTCGCATTCTAATGCATATTTCCACGTGATTTTCAAAAGCTCCAAATACTAGCTTTCACGTTGATGCGGTTTTTTGACATGATTTTTCTAAACGTGATGTTTTTCCACATATATGACTACTAGGCCCAACATCACTCATGACTAAAATCAGTCTGAAAGATATGAAAGTGTTCAGAACCTACATGGCACCCCCCAAAGCTTTACTTGTCACTCCCACATATTCTAATGTTAAAATTAACTCTCTTATTTTTCATTATTTTTCAAATTCTTATAAAATTTATACTCTTAAACGAGAAAATTTTGGCAGTGATATTAAATATCCGATATGCATTTTTATTGGATTTTTAAAAAAAAGTGATAAAAATATATAAAAATAGATATTAATCTTTTTAAAAATCAAGTAAAAATACTTAAAATGCATCCACTCAGAAATTAGCAAAAAAATTCATAGATAATATATTTGCTACATAAATACTTCTATAATCGGAAGCAAAATTCGGAGATAAAAAACAAACAATTAAAAATTAATAAACAAAATTAATACCATTAAAAAAAAATCTAATGCATTTATTAGAAACTACAGATAAATCGGTAGAAGTACGAAATTTTTTCTAAAATCCGTGACAAATTCTGCTAGTAAGAATTCAACCAATAAAAAAATTATTAAAAAATGCTTAATATCGAATTATTTTAAAAATTCAGTGACTCTCCTACTTTTTTTTTTGACACATGTGACACACGAACCTATGATATCAAATATTTGAAAAAAATACGGTAAAAATACATAAAATTTGATCTTATTCTATTTAAAATTTGGTAAAAATGCATACATACACATATTTCAAAACTCACGAAAAAATTGTAGGTAACATATTTGCATAAATTTTGGTGCAATCCGCAACAAATTTCACGTGTAATAAAAATAAGAAATAATTAAACTTTTTAAAAAATACAATAATTTAATTTTTTTTATTAAAATGGTATTTCAGTCATATTACTCCACTTATGAAAGTGTTAGAATCAATTTGGAAAGTGTCATATAAATTTTCGTCCAAATTTCATAAACACTGTCTAAACTTAAAGCTCACCTTAAAATTTATCCATTTTTAGAAGAATAGTCTGAACACGTTAGGAAGTTTCCTTTCCATACATATGTTTCAAATCATGATACCCTTAACATAGCGCATAAGCACAGAGCCTCTCACCTCATGTGAGCTGGTCTTTTTTTACCACTGTAAACATCACCAAACATCGTCTCTCACCACCATGAGTAAGTCTTAACCACCTTTAACTACAAAGGCCTCTAAGTATCCCCTACTCGCTTAGAGATACCACATACACATATACTTTTTGATAAGCACAATGATGACCGTCGTGCGGATCTGGTAAAACAAACTTGAGCCACACCTTCCATTACAATTGCCATATTCACTACCATCCCCATTCTTGGACCTAACCATTTCCAGTTATGGTCGGCAAGAAAGCAGCATCCCATACGCTAGAGGACACCATTGGTAGCACTGATGCCAATTCCCTTGCTGAGATGTGTTCCGCCATGGATGAACTTCGCCATTAAAATTAGAGTCTGGAAGACAACGTCCTTATCATCCGACAATGCCAACAAGAGACCAATCCCCTAGAGGAGATGGAGGTGCTGAACCCCTAACCACTTTCAGGCGAAATATAGAAAACACCTGTCTCTGAAGGCTTCAAGCCTCCCTCTTTGGCAAAGTTTGATGAGCGTAGTGATCCCTATGAATACACAACCTCAATTAACATCTAGATGACCACCATCGAAACAACTAACTCCTTGAAGTGTAAATTATTGTAGGGCACCTTCATGAATGCAACCTTACGACAGTATATGGGTCTGCCCCAAGCTTCCATCGCTAGCTATCAAGAACCGGTGAAGAAACTCCTACACCAATTCGTTGCCAGAAAACTTAGAAAGATGTCCACCACTAACCTATTCAACATAAGACATCGTCCCCTAGGTCATTGAAGGACTACCTATTTCGCTTTAACAAAGCTACCATAAGGGCCATTCCCCGAACCAAGAAATATTCGTAGAGGTATTATAAAAAGGTCTTAAGGTGGGACACTTCAACGAATCTCTCATTCATAAGAGAACATTATCATAGTAGAGGTGCTCACAAGGGTGGAATGCTACATAAAAGGCGAGGAAAACAACTTCGAGAAAAAAGTGTGAGACGTTAAAAAACGTGTTACTAGTGGCGAAGGCTCACATCACCAAAGGAAGGATAACTATACCTCCCCCATTAAGGATAAAATTGCATTCAAGTGAGTAGGCAAGACGACTGAGAGCTTCCACCGATATATTTTATTGGAACGCCTTCGAGTGACAACGTCTTTATCTCGAAGACTTGAAACCCTTCAAGTGATCGTTGGTCGGCATTTTAGGAGAACAAGTGCAATTGAAAGGGCACTTCACTTGAAGACCATGTTCATAGAGCAGGACCATGCCAGAGAAATAAATGTTAAATATCTAGTCATTGACGCCCCCTATTCTTATAATATGATTATTGGGCGACCTACCTTTAATCGACTGGGAGCTGCTTTATCTATTTTGTATATGTGCATGAAATACCCATTCCCTAATGAGCGAGTAGGAGTTGTTCGAGGGGACCAAGAGTTCACCAGAAAATGTTATGCAGAAAGCCTTAAGTTAAAGAAAGCGCATTGTCTGAGCATAAAAGTAAAGAAGGCCAACCATGGGATAATGTCGCCCAGTGACACAGGCGAGAACAATGAGCCTTCCCACCTGACCTTACGAGGTAATGAAGGCTGAAAGCAAGAAGGAATGTTCCCTTCTTCTCTAGAACCATTTATGTAGTCATTCTGTTTTTGTTATTCATTTATGTAGTTGTTTTCCTTTTAGTTATTTGTACACTTAGTTGACATTTTTTCCAGAGGCGAGTATTAAAACTCCGCCAGTTGTAAGGACAAATTATTAGTTGAGGTTCACTATTTTCCCTTTGCGCCTTCAGGGGAGCGAGGGTTTTTAACGAGGCATCTCATACTTATTTATTTATATCTACTCGCTATGTCATATCTTTGCAGAAAATCCAGGCTCACGAGAAAGCCTGTTAATAGAGGCAATTACCATGTTGGATCCCTCAAGGTTGGATCATTGTCGCCCTTATAGGAAGTTGTATACGCTGGATCCCCCAAGGTGGTATCCTTTCTGCCCATAGAGGCAATTGTATATGCTAGATTCTCCAAGGTGGGATCTATGTCGCTCTTAGAGGCAACTAAATACGTTGGATTCCCCAAGGTGGGATCCTTGCCGCCCATAGAGGCAATTGTATACGGTGGATTCCTTAAGGTTGAGCCCTTTCCGCCCATAGAGGCAATTGTATACAGTGGATTCCACAAGGTGGGATTATTGTCTCCCATAAAGGCAATTGTATACGTTGGACTCCCTAAGGTGGGATCCTTGCCGCTCTTAAAGGCAATTGTATACGCTGGATTCCCCAAGGTGGTATCCTTGCTTCCCATAGAGGCAATTGTATATGCTGGATTCCCCAAGGTGGGATCATTGCCATCCATAAAGGAAATTGTATATGCTGGATTCCTCAGGGTGGGATCCGTGTCGTCCATAGAGGCAATTGTGTATGCTGGATTCCCCAAGTTGGGATTCTTGCCGCCCATAGAGGCAATAATATATGTTGGATTCTCCAAGGTGGGATCCTTGCCACTCGTAGGTATAAGTAAAAATGACAAATCCCTCTAGAGAAGGGATTCTCACCGCTTTAGGAGTAGAAATAACTACAAATATCTTAACATTAAGGCAAAACAACATAACTGTTGACACTGAGAGAAATTAATATAAAGACATCCAAAAAGGGATGCCGCTATTCAGAATAATTACAAAAGCCCTCGAAGGGGTAAACAAGATTAAAATCAAAAAAGGAAAGAGGGAAAGAAATCACTTTTCGTCCACCAATTCCCCGTCTAGAACCATCTTGAAAGGGTCCAATGGGCTTAAATCCAAGTGAGGATAAAGAAAACCTATCCTCCTTCTCGCCTCCTTAAAATGATGAATAGAAGCCGCCACGATGACATTCTTAAGCTGAGAAACGCACTCCCCTGTGCTTTCGAGAACGCTTTGAGCTTCCT